TACACTTGTCTTGGGCTCACCAGCGCTTCCTAGAGGAAGACATTTACAACAGCGCAAAACGTCTTTTCTCCCACACAAGCGTTTCTGTCTCATCACACCGCTCCTGTGATGTTGGCAAGTCTCGTTTGAAGTGCTGAAGGGTGCGCTCTCAAAAGAAGGAAAGCAAGAAAAAGCGCATTTTGGTGCTAAAAGGTGAATAGTACTTTTGTGAAGCCTTTTGGAAGCACGCTAAATAGTCTTTTGTGAGCGGATGTCAATACCTCAGTTGCTTTTGCCACCTCTCGCTTGTTGCTTGGAGTGCGTGTTATCTGACGCTGGCCAGGCTGAGATACAGTAGGCAGACATGTGAATGTGTGGGCAGAATGGATTTTGTGACACTTTGGATGCCCGTCCTAAATGTTAAATGTCTGGGAAAGGTTTAAAAAGGAGAAAATGCTTGGTGTGTGAGAACTGCTGGGTAACAATTCACACAATAGAATTTGGAATAGAATTATACTGCTGTATTTGAATAATCAATCCTGAGCATATTAGATGTTACACTAAGCTATACATTTCCACACTTGAAAATATCAATTTGAATTTACTGGTGAACCTTGAAATATAATTATATTAGATTATGCTTATAATAAAAGTCAATCTTCATATGTAATTCAACTCACAAAGTAAAACTAATATATTATATTGTATGTAAAGTGAGATATATCAAGGTTGTATTTGTTATAATGCAAGTATTACAAAACAGTTACCTTTATTTAAAGCCAGAATATATGTGTAATTGTAAAACCCCAAATAGTTCATAGAAAATTTACTGTAAGCCATAATCATCAACATACAAACAAAGGCTTGGAATATGTCACTTAGTATTCAATGTATTCAATGGTTATATATCATGGCTATAAGTTGGCAACAATTAACTCAAGGTGTACCGTGTTGCCTGTTCTAATGTAAACATAATAACTACAGTAATTGCAATTTTCCAAGTAATTTGCAAGTATTGCCTTTTTTCAGATCACAGTATGAGAAACCTGAGTTATCCTAAGTAGGCCTTAAGGTTCTATGAGTTTATTTAAAACATTGTAGTATTTGAGATTTCTTATTCGCTGCCACAAAAAAGGCTTTATGGATTTGATTGTGCTTTCTTTCTCAGGCTCTGTTAAAACACTCACGTGGGGCTATGCTGGTAAAGAATAAACTGAACACATTATACACAGTTGACTTTACCTTGAGAAGCCCACCTCTTCTCATTACCTTCCATTATTGCTCTTCCTCATTAGTTTGTCTGTGGTCGGTCGTGACGCAGCGGCGATGGCCTGGTGCCAGCTGCACAGCCCCTGTAGTCAGCGCCCCCCCTCAAAGTTGACATCTGTGAACTTCTGCAGCTCTGCCAGCATCACAGCGCACAGCAGATTGCAAATGTTATCGCTCCTGTCTCATTCGCTCTATATTTGTCCGTGATGTATGCTTACTGGACTCAGCTGACCGCATTACTGACAACATAAGAAAAAAAAACGTTGTTATATTAACCATGGAACATATCCTTTTGAGATGTTTCAGATAAACGTCGCCATTTGGTTTTTATTTCATTTTTGATAATAGGATGATGGAAAATGGAAATGTGGTGCCTCGCTATAATACATATATATATATATATATATATATATATATACAAAAAAAAATTGTCCACTCACCTTTGGCCCTCCGCGGGCGGTTATCCCTCTCTAAGCTCGGGTCCTCTACCAGAGGCCAGGGAGCTTGAGGGTTCTGCGCAGTATCTTTGCTGTTCCTAGCACTGCACATTTCTGGACCGAGATGTCCGAGGTTGTTCCGGGGATCCGCTGTAACCACTCATCTAGCTTCGGGGTCACTGCCCCGAGTGCACCGATCACCACGGGCACTACTGTCACCTTTACCCTCCAGGCCCTCTCCAGCTCCTCTCTGAGACCTTGGTATTTCTCAAGCTTTTCATGTTCTTTTTTCCGGATGTTACCATCGCTTGGAATTGCCACGTCCACCACCACGGCTGTCCTCTGCCCTTTGTCTACCACCACGATGTCAGGTTGGTTTGCCATTACCATTCGGTCGGTCTGTATCTGGAAGTCCCACAGGATCTTCGCACGCTCATTTTCCACCACCTTTGGAGGAGTTTCCCACTTAGACCTTGGGGTTTCCAGCCCATACTCTCCACAGATGTTTCTGTACACTATGCCAGCCACTTGGTTATGGCGTTCCATGTAGGCCTTCCCTGCCAGCATCTTGCACCCTGCAGTTATGTGTTGGATCGTCTCAGGTGCCTCTTTGCACAACCGACACCTTGGGTCTTGTCTGGTGTGGTATATCTGGGCCTCTATCGCTCTGGTGCTCAGTGCCTGTTCCTGTGCAGCCATGATGAGTGCCTCTGTGCTGTCCTGTAGGCCAGCCCTTTCTAGCCATTGGTAGGACTTCTTGAGATCAGCCACTTCTGTTATGCTCCGGTGGTACATGCCGTGTAGGGGCTTGTTCTCCCATGATGGGCTCTCCTCCAGCACCTCCTCATCTCGCCACTGCCTTCGAGCAGTGGCGAGATTGCACTCGCCACTGCATTCACTGAGTACGTCATCCGTTTTGGCCTTCTCCATGATGTAGTTATGGAGTTTGGATGTTTCGTCCTGGACAGTGGCTCTCACACTCACTAGTCCTCGGCCTCCTTCTTTACGGCTTACGTACAGTCTCATATATATATATATATATATATATATATACATATACAACTGTTCATCTTCCAGATTTTTGTGTGTGCATTATTTTTTTACAGCGTGCTCCTCATACGCCGCGTTTATTCTCCAACAACATGATACAATCGCTAGCATAACATGACAGTTTGAAGTCAAAATAATACTTCTGTGGCTTATGTGCAGAATGGTGATTAGTTCAGAGGACTACCGCGGTCTTCCCTTAGACATAGTTTACAGTGCATGCACAGCTTTAGAAAAGTGTTTGAAGTGTGTGTTGAGGGCTTTTACAGCCTTAAAACATATGAAATATGAGCTGCTACTTCACTGATTTCGCTTATTGCTGGTTATTTTTAGAACCTAACCCTTGCAATAAACTACTGTACATATCCATATTATCATTCAGACAGAAGAATGACACATGAACTGAATTAACAACACAATAATTCCATGATAAACATGATAACAATGTAAATGGAACAAAGACACTATTTTGACAGGTTAATGAGAAGTAATTTAAAGATAATTGTATGTTTTGTAAAGATTATAATGTCAATTATATTTAATGTAATAAATATAGTCTTTGTAGTTTTCTAACATTGCTTTTTGGATTCGATTGCGCTATTTTTACAAACCATATTTGACTCCTTATATAGTGAAGTTAGGAGTCCTTTGCCCACTGCAACACTAAAGCATTTTTTGTGCATTACTGTGCATTTACATTTTTTGGACCAAAGAGAAGTAGATACAGTCCGATTGTCAAACTTTTAGCTTAGAAACTCTAAAATGTAGTCACATGTTAGTTTGAAGATCTGCGTACATATTTGTGACAATTAACTCAAAATGCACACAGTCATCTTTTTTCAATTTATGGGTAAGAAATGAGTGATAAATTTTATAAATCGGCAGAGTAGACATTCTGCCTTTGCATCAGCCTTAAGAAATCCAAATTGGTCGAGACCTGAAATAAGATATGTGTGTGGTTTAGTCTTAAAAAAAATATATATATATACAATTTAATTTTATTATTTCATGTTGGGTGAGAAATTGTTTTCTTATTTTGCGTAAAACAAGGCCTTTTACGCTTGCTCCCTTATTCATTATTTGAATAAAGTTGAAAATTTACTTCAGATCTAATTAAATAAACAGACATTTTTGTTCAATATTTTTTTCAAGTTCTGTATATTATTCTTGCTTTAATTTAAAGCATATTATTAAAGCATAAAGCATATTAAGTTAATATTCTAATCTTCAATAAGTTCCAGAAGAATTTTGCAATGTGCACGCTGAACACATGTGTACATATTTCGCACCTCTAATGCCCAAATATGGAGATCATACCAAATGGTGCAGCCTTACACCCCCGCGGGACACTACTCCCTGGTGTCTGGTATGCAGGTGTCTAATCTAGCCTGATTCCTTTGTTCCCCGTGTTTGGCAAAGGCCTGGAAAGCAGAAATGGCATTCCAGCAGCTCTCCATAATCCTCTGTCGGAAGTCCACTAGACGACTGGCTGGAGTTGATAAACGCAGCTCCCAGTGGAAATGTACAGTTTTGGAGTTTCAAGAGGCTTTGGTGTAACTGTGTTATTTGGCCAAAGAGATTACATGGACTAGATTTTCTTGTTTGTATAACAAGCTCTGTTTTTAGTGTCATCCATTCGATACCGTCTCATTGTGAATATTATGATTCATATATACAGCTGTAAAAATTGGGATCACATTATATTGATCATCTTATTTTTAATGCAAGGTACAATTGTGGTTTCATTGAGCTTCCTTTTGTGTGTACATAGCAATAATGCAAGCATGAGTGTGGTTCAGAGAGATATTGTCATCATCTTGTCATACTGTCTCAAAATGACAATAGCTGTTTGGTTTATCAATTCCAAAATTGATGTTATTATTATTAATGTGCAGTTAATTTTTGTCAATACAAAACAAACCATGTTTCTGTTTATTTTGAAAGTAAACTCTATTAAAGTGTGTCTGTATTCTGAAGATAGACAGTTTTGAAATGTTGATTTTAAGTTCTGCTCAAGGGTATTATTTCTGCCCTAGATTAACACTGGATTTTACACATAGGAAAAAAAAAAGCACTCCCAAAATGTTTGTGGTTTAATCTATATATTGCATATTTTACCAGGAAGCTTAAACCTTTGGATGTCTTCTTAGAGTACAAGGTTTATACGCTTACAATAAATGTGTTAAAATGTTTACCGCAAGTTAATTATACCACCTAATATATACAGTTTATAATAGCATTTTAATGAGCCATTTTAACACTCTGCAGGTTCTCATCCGGGTCATCGACACCAACAACCACCGCCCCCAGTTCTCCCAGCAGCGGTACGAGGTGACAATTCCCGAGGACACCCCCGCTGGCACCGAGGTCCTGACCATCACAGCCACGGATCAAGATGAGAAGAACAAACTGACCTTCACACTTCTGAGCAGCACTGACCCGTTCAGTCTGAAGAAGTTCAGACTGGATGCGGGAACTGGGTCACTGTACACAGCTGAGCCACTGGACCACGAGACCATGCACACGCACATCCTCACTGTCATGGTAAGAATAGATCATGTTTCCTTGGGAGCGATATGACCAAAGCAACATTAATGGTAATAATAATATTCATAAATAATAATAACCCTTTAGTTGTATTTTACATCTACCCCCCTGTGGCACCTGGTGTTCCCACAAGTGTCCCATCACCCTTTTGAAATACTAACCAGCTCCTGTTTTACAGAATCAGGCTTTTACATGCAGTGGGTGCCATAATCAATCAGATCCTTTTGAAGTTTGAGTTTAGAAGCATAAATAAAGATTCTGAACATAGGTCTTAAAAAAGAACAGTGTGAAGTATGTCATCTTTGTATAAACATGCATTTGATATAGACTCTCCCTCGTTAGTAGCTACCACTTATTCTTTGTTCTTTACATGGTGGTTTCCAGTCTTCCCAGGGGCTTGTCATTCTTACTTGTCAATCAGGTGTGTCATTTGTCTCAAGGCGAAAGAAACCTTTCTCTCAATTTTCCAACCATACATCCTACATAACATAAAGGATGTTTAATTTTATCCAGAGTGCCTTCAACCGTTTTTAGTCAAGCCCTCATCGCCCCATGTCAACATAATGGCTCTTCTTCTGTCATTAATACAACCACACAGATACTGTATTTCTCTCATTTCTGTTTATTCCATAACAGGGGTTTTATTGCTCAAACATTTAACATAAGTATTTGTTTAATGCCATAAATGCATAACAATGTGTGAAACAACTTTTCAGAAAAAATAGCTAGTGCCTCTTGGAGTCTTCTTCTGTTTTAAAACACATATTTACCATGACCCTTTTGTTAACGGTGACTTTCCACAAGCTCAATCATGTCAAGTACAAAGTAATTAGCTGTTTCAAGAATAGCTGATAATTGCATGAAGTTGTAAATGGAATACAATAACAGGTAGGTAAAATTCTCAAAGTCATTCGGTATTCCTTTCAGGTGCGAGACCAGGACATTCCGGTGAAGAGAAACCTTGTGCGGGTGATTGTGAACGTGGACGACACAAACGACAACGCACCCTGGTTCATCGGCACTCCGTACTCCGGTCGTGTCTTTGAATCAGCTGCTGTGGGCACGGCTGTCCTCCAGGTCACTGCCCTCGACAAGGACAAAGGGCAGAACGCAGAGCTTCTCTACAGCATAGAATCAGGTGCATTACACTTTGACACATCAAGGGAAAAAACTACAAATTCGATTTTATTCAGACTTGTTCAATGGTGTAAAGGCATTGGGTAATGTGTGAGTCATCTGCCCACTGCATCTTGATCATGAATGGAATATTTGACATTGAGTGGAGAATATTGGAGACTTTGTCCGAGAAACACGTGGGAGACCGTTGCCCCTCATATTTTCCCACGGCGGTGACAAGAGATGGTCTTGTTATGAGAAAATGTATGCATTGTTTGAATAAAATACTTTTATCTGTGATTGTAGACAGACATAGTGAGTCATATACCGCTGAGTTCTGTTTCGGATTTAATAATGTTACCTTAAGAATTAAAGAATGTGATATGCATTATTTGTGACTTTTGACAATTATGCTACCACCAGATGGAGGACAATTTTTTTTTTTTTTTTTTTTAATTACTTGCTGCAAATACAAAACATGTGATTGTAATTGATGTAATGAGAAATTATCAAAATAAATGTATAGGAAATACTTTTGTTTGAGAGGCTCTGAGCTAGCCTGACTCTCGCCAGATCCTTGTAGACCGCTGAGCTTCACAGAAGGGTCTGGGTCTTCTTCATAGCAGATGAGATTTAGAAGGCAGGGCCTGTATAGTATTGTTTTCAGCCAAACGCCTCTGGTGGAGCATGGCGGAACTGCAAGGGTCTGGTCAGAGTCAGGCTACCTCTGAGCATGATATAGTAGTACATTTGACCAAGTAATACAAATTAGGAAAGTGCAATATTCATTCAAATTTCAGATCTTATTAAGTTACATTATCAATCCAGAGCATTCAAGGTCGTTCTGATTTACCAAAAATGTACAGTCGGAATCTGAACAATCTGACCTCTGAGGAGATATTTTCAATCTTTCGTACACTTTAAATTGTTAAAATAATCATTATTTCGAAATATACTTATTAGGACCCTATGTTTTTATAAACAATTGTCTCCACTCATTTATTTGGTGCTTATTTTTCTTTTTCCTTTTTCCCCCAGGAAATGTTGCCAATGCCTTCTCCATTGACCCTGTCCTCGGAACTATTACCGTTTCCAAGGAACTCGATCGCAGTAGCAAGACCCAATTTGAGCTCACAGTCAAAGCTTCAGATCGAGGGCTAACTCCGCTGTCAACAACAACCACTGTAGACATCGCCGTAACGGTTTCTGACAACGCGGCCCCCAAATTCTCAGAAAAGGAGTACTCTGCTGAAGTCAGTGAATTGGCCAACCCGGGCACTTTTGTCAGCTTGGTCACAGCCGTCAGCCAGTCATCGATTTTCTATCAGATTAAAGGCGGTAACATCAATAACGCCTTTGATATAAATCCCAACTCTGGAGTGGTGGTGACTCTAAAGTCTTTAGATTTTGAGACCACCTCTCAATACAAGCTTACAGTACAAGCAACTAACATGGCAGGCCTGTCTAATAACGCAACACTTCTAATCCACCTAAAGGATGAGAACGACAATGCCCCGGTATTTATTCAGAATGAATTTAAAGGTGTTGTAAGCGAATCTGCTCCAGTGAACAGCATAGTTCTAACACCTGACAACACTCCTTTTGTTATTCGAGCCACTGATGCTGACAGTGACCGCAACGCCTTGCTGATTTACCAAATCGTTGAGCCCTTTGCTCATAACTACTTTGCCATCGACTCAAGTACAGGAGCCATCAGGATCACCACGCCATTGGATTATGAAAGAAGGAATGTTTTCCTTTTTACAGTCCAAGCCCATGATTTGGGAATGCCACGTTTATTTGCGGAAAAGGCAGCCAATGTGACGGTCAAAGTGATTGACATCAACGACTGTAGTCCTGTATTTAGCAAAGATCGTTACGAAGCATCCATTATTATCCCTACGTACAAAGGCGTGGAAGTCATTCAAGTAAATGCTACAGATGCTGATTCCAAGCCCAACGCCAGACTTCTTTATTCTCTAGCAGAAGGTAACATTGGTGATAAATTTAAAATCGATCCAAATACAGGCATGATTTCAATACAGAATGTCACTCAGCTGAGAAGCAGATACGAGCTGACGGTCCGTGTTTCAGATGGAAGAACAGCAGCGGTTTCAACAGTGAAAATAAATGTGAGAGAAAACAAGGGAAGCAAATTGAAACTCACAAAAGAATCCTACACATCTCACATGGAAGAAAACTCAAGAGAAAAAAAGACACTCGCGGTTATTGCTGCGGTGGGAAACCAAGTCAATGAGCCGTTGTTTTACAAATTATTGAACCCTGAGAGCAGATTCAAAATAAGCCATACTTCTGGGGTTGTCTCCACCACTGGAATTCCATTTGATCGGGAGACACAGGATACATTTGATATTGTTGTTGAGGTCACAAGAGAGGGCAACCCAGATGAAACAGCTCACGTTCTGTTAACTGTTAGGATCGAGGATGTAAATGATAACAAACCTATGTTCCTCAACCGTCCTTATCATGCTTTGGTTCAAATCGATGCTGAAGAAGGACATATGATTCTCCAAGTTTCAGCTGTTGACAGAGATACCGGTGTAAATGCCCATATCCAATATCAACTCAAAGAACATCTTAACCACTTCGAAATTACCCCTTCAGGTGAGATCCTTCTTCGGGAAAAGTTTGACAAAGACTCCCTAAATAGAGACTTTGTTGTTGTCGTAATAGCCAGGGATAATGGCGAGCCGTCTCTCTCTGCTGAGGTTGACGTCACAATAACTGTGGTGAACAAAGCCATGCCAGTGTTTGAAAAACCTTTCTACAGCATTGAGATTCCAGAAAACATTCAATTGCATTCTCCGGTCCTCCATGTACAGGCTAATGATTCAGAAGGACCACGTATAGTTTACACAATCTCAGAGGGAGACCCCTTCAAGCAGTTTTCAATAGATTTCAACACAGGTGTAATTCATGTTGTCCAACCTCTTGACTTTGAAACCCACCCTGCTTATAAATTGAACGTGAAGGCTACTGACTCATTGACAGGCGCCCATTCAGATGTTTTTGTAGATATTATACTTGAAGACGTGAATGACAACGCTCCAGAGTTCGTCTCCAAAGTCTATTATGCCAATATTTCCGAAGCATCTGTGATTGGAACATCAGTGTTGCAAGTTGATGCTAATGATGCAGACACCGGTAATAATCAAGATATATTCTTCCAGCTGAACTCACCTTATTTTATGATTGATCGCGACACTGGGGTAATCTCAACTGCAAATCAGCTTGATCATGAACTAATCCCTCAACACAAATTACAAGTGCGAGTTGTTGACCTGGGTGTCCCAGCTCTGTCCAGTGACATTATCGTGATAGTGGATGTTACAGACCTTAACGACAATACGCCTGTGTTTACTGAGAGCGTGTACTATTGCACAATTAGCGAGTTAGCCCCCAGAGGATATTTTGTCATTCAAGTCCAAGCATCCGATGCAGATAGCTCTGACTTAAATCAGTTGGAGTTCTCAATTATTTCTGGCAACGATGACCAAAATTTTTCCATCAACAAACAAACTGGGGCAATTTCTGTTTCTAACCACCGTCGGCCACACATGCAACCGTTCTATAACATCACAACCTCAGTTTCAGACGGTGTTTTCCGCACATCTGGAAATGTCCTTATAACAGTTGTTGGAGCTAACTTGCATAACCCGACCTTTGCTCAATCTGAATATGTGGTAGAACTTGTAGAGAACTCCCCTGCTGGCACATTGGTAGTTGAAGCAAATGCTGAAGATGACGATGAAGGAATTTATGGACAAATAACTTATAGAATTGTCAACGATTTGTCAAAAGACAAGTTTTCTGTTAAGGACAATGGCGAGATTTACACTTTGGAGGTTCTTGATCGCGAGAATGAGAAAGTTATTCAAATTTTTCTGGAAGCCAAAGATGGTGGTGGAAAAGTAGGATTCAGCACTGTGAATGTTATACTCACTGATGTCAATGACAATGCCCCACAGTTCAGAGCAGCAGAATACCAAGCTACCATTGCCTCAGATGTTCCAAGGGGAACATCTGTTGTGAAAATTGCTGCTTCAGACATGGATGAGGGCACCAATGCTGACATTGAGTATTCAATTGAGGCCGAAGTTGAAAGTGTTGGAGAAAACTTTGAAATCCACCTAACAACAGGAGTAATTACAACCAAAGAGAGTCTAATTGGACTAGAAAATGAACTGTATGCTTTCTTTGTCAGAGCAAAAGACAGTGGGAATCCCTCTAAACATTCAGTTATCAAAGTTCATATAAGAATAGTTGCACCAGAAACGCCAATACCTACATTTTCCGAACCTCATTATCGCTACACCATAGCAGAAGACATGCCCATTGGCACAGAGATTGACATAATTCAAGCTGAAAGTGAACTACCGGTTGTTTACACTCTTGTGAGGGGCAACACTCCGGAAAGCAACGAGAATGAGATGTTTGTGGTTGACCGAGATTCTGGAACACTGAAGCTGCAAAAAAGTCTTGACCATGAGACTACTAAATGGTACCAACTAACTCTCATGGCCCAAAGCAAAAATAAAGACTATGATGTTGTTGCGTCAGTCAGCGTCAACATACAAATTAAAGATCTTAATGACAACAAACCCGTCTTCGAATCTGACCCGTACGAAGCAGTGATTGTTGAGAACCTCTCGAGCGGCACCCAAGTCATCCAAGTCAAGGCAAACGACCTAGATGCTGGAACTAATGGCCATATCGTGTACAGCCTCGACCCCAAACAAGAGTCGGAAGAGGTCTCTGAACTTTTTGCTGTTAATAGTGAAACCGGGTGGATCACAACTCTTAAGGAGCTTGACCGTGAAAAAGTTGATGATTACACCATAACAGTTCTGGCCACGGATCAAGGCGACAAAGTCCAGCATGTCACGAGCACACAGGTGGAAGTAACTGTCGCGGATGTGAACGATAATCCTCCCCGCTTCACTGCAGAAATCTACAAAGGAACAGTTAGCGAGGATGACCCCCCTGGTGGAGTGATTGCCATTCTTAGCACTACAGACGATGACTCAGAAGATGTCAACAAACAAGTCAACTACTTTATCACAGGCAAGTTTTCTTATGTATTGCAATACGCAACATGATCTACATTTACATTTGCCATTCACTATTCAGTGAGTTTTTTCAATTAATGGGATTACAAGTTAATTATAAAGAGATGCTAATATTGTAAAGAAAAGTACAATAGCAGGGTTGAGCATTATTAACATCCCACACACATAATCTAAATTTGAACTGCTAAATCTCTCTGCAATAAAAACAGTAACCCAGTAACCCGTGCCATTACAGTCCTAATAATAACTGTCTGATATTATGCCTATTTTTCATCATAAATAGGCAGAACGGAGGAACAAATAATTGGCAATCTTGATGTGTTTACTGCCTTTGTCTACACACACACTTCATAAACAAAGCAGTGGGGATTACGGCTGTATGCCACTTTATGTGACAATATCTCCTCTCCAAACAATTATGCAACACTATTATCTGAAAGGAGACCGTTAAGGCCTGATCTGTAGAAGACAAATATTTGGGTCATTATTATACAGAAACTCATAATTCTGTGAAATTTGCTTCCTCCTGTCCTAATTAGCAAGTGTGAACAACACCAAGTGTAGAAGTATCTAGAGACATCAAACTCTTGAATTGTGAACGGTTGTCAGACTTGTTTTCCTTGTGGAGAGAATGAATGTGGAACAAACAAAAATCCAACTTAAACAATCATTTATAATTCAGAGACACTAAGCATGAAGCAGTTCACGGTTTAGCCCATAACGCCTGTCTTCCTAATGATCTGGCCTTTAAGTGTGTGGTCAGAGACGTTGATCGCTCTAAAGTGCTTCTCTTTAACTCCTAACAGGAGGGGACCCTCTTGGGCAATTTGTGATTGAGAACATTCAGAATGAATGGAAGGTCTCTGTCAGGAAACCCTTGGACCGAGAAGAGAAGGACAATTATCTCCTCAACATCACGGCCAGCGACGGCATCTTCACCGCAAAGGCTGTGGTGGAGGTCAAGGTGCTGGATGCAAATGACAACAGCCCACTGTGCGAAAAGGTGAAGAGAGCTATTTATCCTCTGTCTATTCTTGAATGCATACACTAAAGTAACTTATATTAGTGTTATATTTAATCAATAATGCTTAAGTTCTTCAGATACCGTACTAAGATTTGTAGTGAAGTACAAATTTAAGTCGCGATAGTAAAACAATGTCTTAAGCCTGACAAATTGCTAATTCTCTGAGCATCTTAGTAGCTCTTAACTACATGAGAACTACAGTAGTATAAACCGGTGGCCTCACCAAAGTAAGATTATGTTGCGTTATTATTTTATGTTAACAATTAAAGCTGTATTTTTATGTTTTTATAAATTCACTTAATATTTTCACTGAACAGAAAAACACACATCACATACATCACATCATTTTTTTTGTAATTTGAAAGCACTAAACTGCCAAAAAAAAGGTATTCTTAAATCAACATGTGGTATCAGAATTGGCATCAACTTATCCCTTAGTATTGATGATGACTTTAATTTCGTTGTGACATAAAAACCATTTTTGTTTTCAATTGGACCTTACACAAATATTGCCCAGCACACCTTGCAGAATTGTTCATCTCTACCCTTCTGGTCCCTTTGATCCTTTGATTCACTGGTGCCTCTCTGTTCCTGCCCCCCTCAGAGCCTCTACAGTGAGAGCGTCCCAGAGGACTCCTCCGCTGGCAGACTCATCCTCCAGGTCTCTGCCACTGACGCTGACATCCGCTCCAATGCCCAGGTCTCCTTCCAGCTGCAGGGAGAGGGGGCTCAACTCTTCACTATTGATGCTGACACAGGTGGGGGTTTTGAACACGCCTAAATAATGCAACTTGCCATGTTTTTTTTGTAGAAGGATAACAATCTCAACTCTGTAAAATACTCCAATAATGTGGTAGTTACAGCAGAAGAGTCTGAAGCGGAGTTTCAGACTCCTCTCATTTGTAATAAAAAAAAAAAAAAACATATTTAAGTCAAACTTTGTAAACATATTTCACAAAGTCAGTACACCTCCACTTTCTATTTTGTTAGATTTTTTTTGATGGAGTGTTGTCACTTTGGCTCTGTTTTTTTTTTTTTTGCGTCATATTTCAGAGATTGTTGATGATACAATGATTCTTTATCACATATGATTCATATTCTAGCTCCAGAGAGAGGGAAGCTTGGTTGTAGTGATGGGGAGATTGGAGCACCTGGAGGAAACGCACAAGAACATGCAAACTCCACTCAGAAAGGCAGTCAGGAGGTGGAATAGAACCCGGGATCTTCTAGCTGGGAATTGAGAGTTCTAACACCTCAGCCATCGTACAACCTTATGCTCATTCTCTTTTTGTTTTGCCCTTATAGGAGAGCTGAAGACCTTCCAACCTCTGGACCGGGAAGAGGCAGAGAAGCACCGGTTCACAGTGCGAGCGGTGGATGGCGGAGGGCGGTTCTGCGAGGCCGACATTCACATCACTGTTGAAGACGTCAACGACCACCCGCCCCAATTCTCCTCGGACCCCTACACCTTCACCGTCTTTGAGAACACAGAGATCGGGACTTACGTTGCCAAGCTGACCGCAACCGATGTGGACACTGGTAGGACAAAACACTGATGAAATGCAATGTGTGTTTTAGAGTATATTTTAGTTTAGCTCATTTCAATTTAAAATTACTAAACATTGTATTGATATAACATATTCATCATTATTAATTTCTGCATCATTTGGTTTCATAAATACATTGTGTTTGTCCCAACAAAAAGTGTTGTGAACAAAGCAAACCACAGCATGTTCTCTTTATCTCATTAGAAAACATTTTATCATTTGCATACTGTGAGTGTGAGATTGGCTGAGTGATGGTGGTCCTCTCTTTTTCACTTTAATATTTAGGTTTACAGTGGACAAAGGTTTTTGACCGTTTGCACGCACACACAGGCATGGGGGAAAAAATAACAAAAATATGATTTGAAAAATTAGTTGGTGTGTGTGTCAGTCTATAGAAATGTATAAACAGTAGCCACCCTGATGGCACCCAATCGATTAGAAGCCCCGACAGCTGGTCAAGTGCGCCTCCCCCAAAACTTTTCGATTTTCGATTCACACAATTAGACGACTGCATGCCACAAAGAAGCAAAAGGGAGGACAACAAATGTGAAATTTCATGAGTGATCAGCCCTTCAAATTAAAAGCCCCATTACACTCTAATGAAAACTTTCTCTTCAGTCGCTGTTCTCACAGGACCTAAAGGCAATTTTCCACCCGTCTGATGCAATTCCGCCAAACTGCACTTCTTGTTTGCTTTAATTTTCTGAGGTTATTTCAAACTATTGACAATAATTTGATGATGTTTTTTAGCAATGTGAAGTGGAAGGGAAATGGTTTACACCGACAATTAAGTGTAGTATTGCACTTGTCATTTGAAAGCAATCTCAGGCTCTGGAAAGTGGCAAAACATAAATGACAAATATCTACTTTGTTTTGCATATTTCCATGCAGATTTCTTTGCTTGCATGTTCAGAAAGTTTCCCCAAATATGTGTTAACCCACCTTTAACCAGGTATGCTCTCAATTATATTGTAACTCTTTATTATGTCACAATTAACCTTTTAGTCCTTAAAGTCCTGCTCTAATGACCACTAACAGGTGTCAGACTAGTATGAGCATTTTAATTACCAGAACCAGGTTAAGTAAAGCCAATTAAATGCACCACCCGAAATTTACCAGCAAACAACTTGCGAATATCTCAGAACATCTCTTTTACCAGTCATAAAAAATTCACATCTCCCATCTCCTTACTTTTATATCCTGAACTGACAGCTTGACGAGTATTAAAGGAATGCTCAAATCTTCTCCCTCAGAACCCATTGGTAAACTGTGGAAGGGAGGTATTGAGACATCTCTTCCCTGAGGCTTCGCTGGCACCAAATTTGCTTCCCACTTTGAATATCAAGGATGAGGGCTACACCAAGCAAATGTTATAAAAAGCATGCCGCTTCGCTGGGGGCAATAATTATTTAGAGACACTCAGAGCAAAAGAAACCAGGGATTTTACTTGTATTACTACTATGTCATTTTTAATAGATTCGACAAGTCCCATGCCACGTGCAAAGCTCACCAGCCGAGGTATACGTTATAGTTTTGACCCATTTCTCTCAAATTTCACTCAGCTGTCTTCGCGTCAGCTTTCAAAACGCCATTGTAACCTTGCCCCCGGAGACTTTCTTTATCTCGATATTTGATGCAGTCTTGGCAGCCGCCTCAGTGGGCCACGGGCTCTATGATCTGAATACATATTTGCACATGTTTTTTTCTGTGTATTTTTGCTCACGTTATCTCCAGCAGACACAACTTCTCCAGCACAGACAGTCAAACAAAAACAACCCCCGAACTGGCGATAAACCAGAGTTGCATCTCATCATTTTGTTTCGTCTTTTTTGTCTAATGTAGCTGCCAGTGTGACCTCTGCGCTTGCTTGCCTATTGCTCAGTTCGTTCAGTATTCTGCTGCGTTGCAAAGGATTTATAGATTCGCTGTAGTAGGAAGGCGCTTTACACCAGAAGCAGTCTATAAATAAAAATAAAAAAGTTTGGAAAAACCTTTGGGCTAAATGTGAAGTTAGCGCTCAAAGGAGGGCAGAGGTGAAAAGCATTGATTTGCTGTGTACATAGCTCAAGCTTGTCAGGGGCGTGCTAAAAATAATGAGCTTGGAAATTAAAAAATGCGTTGGAAGTCAATATGCCCTGGAATTGGAAAAGTTTGTTAGATTATCTAAACTACTTTTGACAAGGTGTTAATTGTAGAACTCATTTAAACGACACAGAGAAAGTAGGCCACAGTAATAACAAAAGCAAAGCAGGAAAAGCGTGACATTCTAATGGTGAGGTGTCGTGTACCAGGCATTGTCAAAATACACAAAAGCACTGTAAGTAAGTAAGTAAGTAAGTAAGTAAGTTTTTATTTATATACCGCCTTTTCACTGCAGATCTGAGTCTCAAAGCGGTTTACAATTGTTAATGTTGGGCATTTGTCTCTCACTCCACACAGAGATGGGAGCGGGGCCAGTACAGGAGGCACATGCCAGAACTATTGGACATATTTTTAGTGGTAGGGGAAACCGGAGCACCCGGAGGAAACCTACGCAGACACGGGGAGAACATGCAAACTCCACTCAGAAAGGCCCTGGTCCGACCGGGATTCGAACCCAGGACCTTCTTGCTGAGAGGCGAGAGTGCTATCCACTCAGCCACCGTGCCGCTGGTAAACACTGGTTAAAGAGTTTGTGTTAAAACTAGGGCACTTTATGCAAATAATTTATTGAGTTTTTTTCCCAATTGGTGTTATTGGGCCAGATTAATGCAAACCATTTATAACAGCGGTGTCCAACCAGTAGCTTGCCAGCCACTTCCAAGTAGCTTCCCAAAAGATTTATACATAACAATAATCTCCTTAATATTTAAAATGTTATTTTCCCCTTGCCTGCAACTATTGTTTTTTTTTGTTTTTTTTTTACTTTATTGAAATTTTTTTGAACTTTTGAGCTTTACAGTGTAACTTTGCAATTTATCCTAAAAATCAAAATATCGGAAAAAGGTTGGAGACTTGTGCTTTAGGCGCCAAAGTAGCGGTATTTCTGCATGAGCTCCTGAATCCAGGACACTTTCTATAACTGGCTACCCACAAACATTTCCCGAATCTTTGAATAAAACTTAGGTTCCTAAAGCTTTTGCTCTGAATATCAGACAATATAAAAAGCTTGTTTGAGTATGAAACAAAAAAGCTATTTAAGTCAGTAGACGCATATCCATTGCTTTATTACTGGAAGTGCACCCCAGTATTACTGTTTATGAAACTGGAAGTCATTTTAGCACAGTAAAGACTTCGTAGCAGCACTTTTACAATGCCATTACCGCCTGTAAACCCTATTGAAAAACATAAAAAAATGACTTGTCCCGTCTTTCCCAACGTCAAAGGTGACACCTTTCCACCCATCTTTCTCCTCTCGCCTTATCTCTTCCTAATGCTTTGTCATTAGCCACAGCGCAGATAAACAAGTCGACCCATTTGCAAGTCAGAGTGATTTCTGCGAGCACCATTATGTCTTGCGGATGATCAAACCGGTGGTAAGTGATTGGAGGGCGCACGGGCACGGCTCCCCCGCGGTCTACTCTTTGGAGCCGTAACAAGATCCGCGGAGGACGGCGGCGCTTACCTGATAAATGGGAATATAATGGCAGATTCCAAATGGGGGCCACCTGCAGAAAGACATTAGCATTATTATTGTGATCCGTCTCTGTCTAGTTGCTCGTTGTGACTTTTGCTAGTGGGAGGACATGAGTTATGACAATGGCTTGGGTTTATCAGAGGCTGGCAAGGGGAAGACAGACGGTTTAGCATGCAGGCAGGATGCAACGAGTTAATAATGTAAGAATAGATGTTTCAATTTAAAGGTAGAAGCAAGCTTTTAATGTCAAGGGCTTGTGGGAGGGTTTCTGAAGATGTTGCTGTCAACTGTGGTATAATTAGAAGGTTCTGTAGCAGACATGTTCACACTTTGACACTAAAAAAGCTACCTACAAAACTGAATGCCATGGGTTTCTCAGAAGGTATGAATACTATTGGCGATATTTGACATCAATGCTTTTGCAATGTTGTCTGCAATTGAGGTGTAATTATTTATTATACAATTGTGTTGCAAACATTTTAATAAATACACATAATACTTTAGGAAACTTAAAATGGCTATGGACAATTGCCTCTATCACTCGAAATTGAGCTTATTGAAAGACTTGTGGCAACCAAAATATGAGACCACACTCTCTATTCTGACTTTAAATGATAATAACGTTTTAATGATAATAACAGTTAGGCATAGTACTAGGGATGTAAATCGGCGACCGTTTAACCGGTGGTTGACCGTCACAGCGTTAACCGGTCAAAGCTGTCGGTTAAAAAAGAGAAAAAGGGGAGAGGGGAGGTGTAACCTCTTAATGCCAACGCAGTGTATATTTTAAGCCCTATTTGCTAAAATTTATTATTATTTTTATTTTTTTATACCACCCCCATCCCCTATACACCACCCTCCCGGCACCTTCCTCAATTATGTCCAGATTGACAGCGTATCTCATAAAATTATGTTTAGCTAAGTATAAAGGGTAAATAAGTACCTAAGTCCCTAAAGAGAGAAAAAATAAATAAAGATAAATACAAAAAATACAAATTGTAAAAAAAAAAAAGAGGGCACACACACATGTATATGTATACATATGCACAGATATACATACATCCATCCATATTCATACATACATGCATATACACACACCCTTGCATACATCTACATATACATACACACCACTTATACACACAAGTTCATGTACCTTCAGAACACACTTTCATACATGTGGCACCTGACCGATACTCATTTCATATGGTTTAGCAAAGCAGATTTTTGTGTGTCCTTAACCAGCTCCTTTAAAGTCAAAAAAATGTGACCCTATTTTAAGGAAGAGGTCTTGCTGCTTGTGTAGCCTAAGGATCACTTTTTCGTAGTTTGCTGCTTTTATCATCCATTCCAGCCTAATTAAGATACTTATTTCAAGAAATCTGCCAATGGGGCAAGTGCTGATTATGCGTTTTGTTTTTGTTTTTCTTAATTTACCTGTATTTTTGTAGTTTTTTTTGAAATTTCTGCAGATTACTTACTTGAAAAATGTTGCCCAGGAAAGGCTCTGAGTCACCAAAAATCCCTCACATTTAGTCGACCAAAACCATTGTCATGAGCTATGATCTTGAGCCTCCGACAGAAGCACAACCTGACACATTTTAGTCATGTTTTTTGTGTGTGCGACCTTTGTGTGTTTGCCCTTCTGCACTTTTATTTTTCTTAATTTGAAACTTTTTATTATGGGAACATTTGCGCAGTGTACCCAAACAAACTCAGTACGTACGTATGGGACAGGGGAAGAGGAGGGAGGCCATAACTCACCCATCTTTTTCAGTAGTGAGAGTAAATTGCGTGGCACCACTTTAAATCTCGCCACAGCGTCATAATAAAAAGAAAATCTGAAACACGTTGTATTTTTAGCTGTGGGAGACATCAAAAACAACATCTTTGTTTTCTGTCATGTGTAACTCGCCACCAACTGCGCTCCCATCGTTTCAACAGATTTTTAAAACAACACCCTTTTTTATTTTGACTGTTACTGGCTCGCCGCGTCGCTTCAACTCTACAAAAACAATCTTTATTGACGTGCAAGCCCACAAAGTTACGCACAGCTTGATGTGTTTGAAATGAGTCGGGAGCAATGTGACTTGTGGTTTGTGGGGCATTCAAACAATGAAAATCGGCAGGGTTTTTAGCACAAGTAGTATTTTGTAGTGATATAACCGTGGTCTACCAAAGATACATGGGCATGTTTCAAAATGACTGACAGCTTTTTATTAAACTCCACAACAAAATTATCCATTACTACTATCACTCCGGCTTCATATTTATCACTTCAGATGGTCTGTGTCTATATTAGTAATATTGTTGACTGATAAAGGATGTACACCAATTGTATTTCTTCTCAATAATGTCAATTTCCTTTCCTTTTATGAGTAGAAAAGCATTCAGCACACCATGTGTAGATAGAATGCACAATTCTATGAAACCTGGGGAACAAAATTAACATAAATCTCTTGTTTGTTTCTATGACAGGTTTTCACATGCATGTATTTTTGACATCACTTCTTTAGATCAGATTTTTCAGACAGAAAAGTTGAGAAGAGAGGACCACCGTGACGTTTAATAGTGACTTAAGAACATCTTTTAAGTCATGAAAACATAACAATTTTTACTACGATTATTTATGATTCTAGGTACCACATCATTGAAAGCGCATAAAACACATAGAAACCTAAAATATTTAATGTTTATTTGACTATGTCTGAAAAATAGTTATTTCTCACCTACATCTGACTTAAAATGTGTCCATGCTATTTTATTTTAGTTTAAAAAAAATAATGTCTTGGTCTTAGCATCAAAAATGTGCCCAGAAACTATAATTTCACGAAATTAGAATTCTCAGAAATGTTTAATGCATGATCATTGGAACACAATTTGTATATAGTTTATGTATGGCACACGTTTCTCCCGTAACCCCATACTTTTGTTTGACAACAGCATGAGAGCCTGCGTGACCTTCCTTAATCACACGTCTTACACTTGTGTCCTCAGGCGACATCTTTGTGATCGAGCCGCTGGACTACGAGCTGTCGCATGAATACTACATCACGGTAGAGGCCACAGATGGCGGCTCGCCCCCCCTGAGCGACATGGCAACAGTCAACATCAACCTGACCGACGCCAACGACAACGCGCCGCTGTTCAGCCAGAGCACGTACACGGCTGTGGTGAGCGAGGACGCCGAGCTGGGCAAGACTGTGCTGACGGTGAGAGCTAAACTAATACGTGTTTTACGGGGAATGTACTCGATGAAGCAGGAGTTATTTAAATTTAGCATTGAACAATCAGGACAGAAACAGGGTTTATTATTGGGGCCAAAAAAGACTAGCACAGGGTCTATTTTTGGATCACGTCACTGTTTAGATCAGTTTTTCAGACAGAAAAGTGAAGCAACTCTGACCCATTTCAAATTCCAATGTTATTTTATTGCAAGTTAGGGTTAGGGTTAGGGTTGGAAACGAGAGAGAATAAGTGAAGAAGCACAAGACAAACGTTTCTGCCTAGTTCAATCTGTATTTAGAAGACGTGACAAGGTACTGAACTAGACACTTAATATCGGCTTGACCGGACACAAAAGGCATAACAACCGCAGGCCTGAGTCACAAACAGCTCCACATGTAGGGCACAAACCCTGGATCTAACAAGGGCTTAAACGGCCCTATGAACCAACAGAAAGTATGACTATACCAGCTCAAAAGCAAGACTTCAGTGGGCATCAACATGATGGACCTCACTTATTCTCAATAATTCAGAGAAGCCGTGAACGCTGCTGCCTTTGCTTACTGTGGGGAAAATAAGCCATTATTCTTTTACACGAAGGACAATTTCTCATTTGTCAGCCCTATAGTAAGTTACCTCCAGCAGAATATGTTTGTTCACACCATCGAGCTATTACTCACACGTGCGCAATCTTCTGGTGCCCATATTTTTAGACTTTCTGCCATCACAGAGCCATGCATACGTCTGTATATCACTGTCAGAGCATTAGATTTTAATACCTGCCATTGTTGTCTCGTACGTACAGTCACTGATTTCCCCTGGGGATGGCTTCAGAGCACCATGGTTGGGAGCTTTTAAGGCCATGTTTTGCTTTGTGAATGTAAAAGAGGGTAAGCAGGGGTCAAAATAATATGTATGTCAAAAAACAAAACAGACAGTGTCATAAATTCCTTTCATTAGGTGTTGGAGCTCATGTATGTTAAATATGTATATAATTTAAGTGTGGTATTCATGATAGAGAACATCAGTTGATGCATAGATGGATAAAATACATTAACAAACGTATAATAGAGTGTTATAATCCTTGTTTACCAGTTTTAATTGGCCTACGGATAAAATATACATATAAACCCTTTAGGCGACCTGGCTTGACACACATGTTTCCATGCGACTGTTTTCTGTTTTGAATTGTTGTTGTCCTCTATCTCTTTCACCCAGTTTCAGGGCTTTACTGCTGTCTGTTTCCAATCAAATGTCTGATAAAAGCTGATCGGTCACAAATAGATGTGATGAACTGACATGTGTACTATTTTTTTATTACTGTTTTTAATTGTTAAGTGCTTTGTGATCCTGGTCTCTGAAAGGCTCTATATAAATAAACTTCACTTACTAATTATTTAGGTAATGTTCTATAAGATAAAAATAAGATAAGTCATCCTACTATTGCAAAGAAAAAGTACAGATTATAAAGATTGATCTTCAAAAATATCAAACCTCCCGTTTAACGACTAGCTAAGAGAACCTTTTGTTTGTCCCACAGTGGACCATTTGAACCCTCCCTGTGTTTTCCCCAAACAGGTGGTGGCCCAAGACGCGGATGGCCCATCTTACAGCCATGTGCACTACTCCATCGTGGAAGGCAACCAGGGCAGCCCGTTCACCATCGACCCCAGCCGAGGAGAGCTCAAAGTGGCCCGGCAGCTGGACCGAGAGCGGGTACGTGTGCAACAACAGAAGCAGACTTTGCAGTGCTGACTCCACACATAACGGGGTAACTAATTGCAGAATCCAATCACAGCGTGTCATGCCTAATAGGGGAGGCTCGATCCTCTGTTGTTTTATTGCTCACAAAGGCAGACGCTGCGCTTTAGGTTAATTGGCCGAGTCCAAGCTGATCAACTCAAAAATGGAGCAGTTTGAAAAAGAAAGATGTGTCCAGTGATTGTTTAGTTTGATCCTTTTTATCCAAATCCAAGTACAAATGACAACATACTCTATGTTACACCAAGCGCATACAAGAGCTACGTTAAAGCTTACTATTTGCTGAAAAAGTGTGTAAAATGTCTCTTTACCACCATCTTAACCAATGATTTATTCAATTCATATTTCAAACATTTTTAATCCTGGAGAGAAATGTCTACTATCAAATCCCATTTTAAATTATGCATCCTGACAATCTCCTCTATTTTACGAGATCATCCATATTTTTTCATGTTTAAGGCCAACGTTAACACACATAAATAATGCATAATAATTTATCTTCTTCAAACTTTAAACGTGTGCAACCATTTGCAGATCTCAGGATACAGCCTCACCGTATTGGCCACGGACAATGGGCTCCCAGCGCTTTCCAGCACCACCGTAATCAACATCGACATTCTGGACATCAACGACAACCCACCCCTCTTCTCCCAGGCCAATTACAGCCTCATCATTCAGGTGAGCAGGCGATTGCACTTGTTATAGATAAACTTTGATTACAGAATTAGACCAATGGAGAGATTGCCAAAAATAAAGAAACCATGACAAAAGATGGGGGAACTGAAAAGGATTAACACAGAGATGTAATAGGGAATGTGAAGAAGGCACACGAGCTGAGGTGAGGGCGAGTGGGTAGAAGTGGGAATTGTAAATTGAAAGACAGATGCTGCATGTTAAGTGCGGAAATGCAGATAGGGATGGGAAAAAGCACTCTGGAAAGTAGGAGCGACAGATGCAAATTCCAGAGATAGAAGCAAGACCAGTGATAGTTTCGTCTGCTTATCGCACAGTCTACAGTCTGTAAAAGTCATCTTTAGTATCTGAAATGTAATGGCTAAAGTTTGCGTTTTTGAAGGATACAAGTTCTGAACATTTTTTGTTTTTAACATTAACAGACCTGCAGTTGTTTTTAACTCCATCCACGCTAACTCTGTAACAAGTTAATCAAGTAATTGGCCAACTAATCAATGATGAAAAAAAATAAATACATCATGAATTACCGCCCTAATAAACACTTATCTGGTATTTCTGGCCCAAACACATCCCCGTTCCTTTTTGTCTAAATGTGTCTAATTATGTTGCCTCCAAATTAGTTTTGTAATTTCTCAGGTGAAATTACATTATTTACACCCGTGTGACTGTTGAATGGTGTTATTACATGCTGATGTGTTTTTCTTATGCTTTGTACGCCATGTTGTTTTATTTTACCATAGAAAATATTTCTCACAAAAAGTAAATTGCATCATGTTTAAGGACCAATTACACCTGCACAATACAATTTTGAATGCAATTTTAGTTAAATATGGGGTCAATTACTGTTGTACTGTGGAAAAGGGGCTATGTCTTTGAAGCTGCTTAACTTGAGTCAAGCTTTACGAAACCCTTTCGGCGCAACGCTGGTATTCGCATGCATATATTAATTGGACATACGCATAGCTTTAGTGCAGCATGTTGAGTAGCAAGAAGGATCACCCTTCAACAGGCAGTAAGCTCTCAGCCCATATTGCTGTAAGGCTTTTTTGAGGGTTTTTTTTCTCTCTAAGACCTTTATCCTTTTATTTGAGAATATACTTTATGTACTTAAAGCCAGAGATCAATAAAAGAAATGTCAAAGTTGGGCTGTTGCCTCTCTAATGTGGACAGACCACCTGGAGCTCAGCCTAACAGGTTCTGTTCTTTCAGGAAAACCGTCCGCAGGGCACCAGCGTCCTGCAGCTCACAGTTAGCGACCTGGATGCTGGTTACAACGGCCCTCCTTTCAGCTTCTCCATCGCAGACGGAAACGAGGACGGAGCCTTCCAGATCCATCCCTCCGGAGCTCTGGTGACCGCTGGAGAGCTGAGCAGGAAGCATAAAGAGCACTACCTTCTTCATGCTCAGGTCAGTCACAGGAGAAAAAGAGAGATTATATTGATCCAAGCGCCAGGGCCATTTGTCATTGCTCCATCAGGCCCACTCAGCCCACCCTCTCCTTCACTTCTCGCAGGAACGATAGATTCAGTACAGCAATCAAGTCAACAGCCAGTGGTCGCAACTTAGCAATTGGAGGAGTCTGCAATTATTTACATTCTTGTAACTGATCATGCCATAATACTAACATTTGAAACCTTGAAAAAAAAAAGAATCAGATGCTATTTCGGTTCAATCCCCAAACAGGACGAATGAGTGTGGATAATTATAAAACAAGAAAATTAATAAGGTTCTTAACACTTACTTTCAACATTGTCTTACTGTGAAATAAAGCTTGCTACTTTTCAATTGTGATTCAGTTTTTCCAGCAAGTTGTCATAAAATTCACATGAATTTGTTCCCAAAATGAAAAGATGAAAGCACAAAAGGTGACTGATGACAACACTTGAAGCCAGTATTAAGCTAAGGATGAGAATATGACAGCTTTAATGTTTAATGTCACAGAAAGATAATGCTGCTGTAGCTGCTCAATATTGTCCAAGTGCTCCAGTGCCCCCTGTTGGATACATATGGAACAAGAATGAATTAAAATATCTCAACAATAAAATGTATATTCTTTTATAATTTTATGTTCAAATATTTGTGTCCAATGACTGAAATAGTAGCTTTTTTCCATTTTTGTGTGTGGATTTTAAGATGGTGTCCCACGCTTTTTTGTTTATAAATAGTACATGTTTTTTGGAAGAGTCTTGTAAAAGTAAGACCGCAACATGCTTTATCTTGTTAGAAAACATTATTTGCATACTTTTGAGAGCCCTGTGTGTCACTATTTGACCCACAGGGCTGAGATCTGAAGGTGGCCCTGTCCTTTTGACGATTCTTCCCAAAAAATCTGACGTAAGCATGTGTCTGAGGCCGACAAATACATTTATGTCAAAACTCAGCGTAGAACTGTTTTGAGTGAAAAATAAGTTAGAAATGTTATTACATTGCTCCTTTTCTGGAAAGTTAGGTACCTGAGCTTTTAGCTATATTTTGACAACTGAAATGAACACACACATATCTCCCTACTCAGGTGTCTGACAGCGGGCAGCCCCAGCTCTCCTCCAGCTCTTTCATCAGCGTGCGCATAATCGAGGAGAGCATCTACCCTCCTGCGATCTTGCCCCTGGACGTCTTCATCTCCACAGCAGGCGACGAATACCCCGGCGGTGTACTGGGAAAGATCCACGCCACCGACCAAGACATCTACGACACCCTGACATACAGCCTGGCCCCATCCTCCTCCGCACCTATGCACGAAGACAACACAGCCTTGTTTTCCGTTGCTTCTTCTGACGGAAAAATCATCGCCTTGAAACCGCTGGACGTCGGACATTACCCCCTAAACGTCACGGTCACGGACGGGAGGTTCACCACAGCGGCCGATGTGAACGTGCACGTGCGGCAGGTGCAGAGGCAGGCGCTGGACAACTCCATTGCGGTGCGCTTTGCAAACATCGCACCCGAGGAGTTCATCGGGGACTACTGGAGGAACTTCCAGAGGGCCCTGCGGAACATCGCCGGGGTGAGGAGGAGCGAGGTGCAGCTGGTCAGTCTGCAGCCGTCGGAGCAGGGCGATCTGGATGTGCTGCTGGCCCTGGAGAGGGCCGGGAGCCCTTATCAGCCACAGGAGGTGAGTGCATGCATGTTGAACTGATTTTAGTTTAAGCAACTATTTTAGGGTCACAGTTGCTAAAGGGGTTTGGTTGCAAATAGTGATTATTTTAGTAATCACGTAACTGTATCATGCAAATATACATGTTTTAGCTTATGTCATTTTCACATATTTGCCAAAGGCCCACCCTTCTTTTTCCCACATTCCAAGCTGCTCTGTTCAGTCTAAGGAAAGCTATAATTAAAAACACACACTTGAAACTCGTTTTGCGACGACTTGTCTAGGTGGTGTTCCGGAAGTTGAACTCGTCAGCGGCTGTGATCGAGGAGATGACCGGGGTGCGCATCGTCCGCGTGGTCCAGAAGCTGTGCGCAGGTCTGGACTGTCCTCTGCGCTTCTGTGACGAAGATATCAGCCTGGACAAGAGCTCCATGAACACGTACAGCACGGCTCGCCTCAGCTTCGTCACACCCAGACACATGCGCACTGCCACCTGCCAATGCCAAGGTAAATGTAAGGCTTTCAGGGTAATCATGCTCCATGTGCAGGACGCATTCCTGAGAGTGTCGGAAGTTTCCCATAGGCCATAGTTTGGTCCTTTTGAGAATGCTAATTTATTACTATTGGAACTATTGTTCCAATAGTAAATGTCTTACTATTGTTCCAATAGTAAGACATTTAAGCATGCTGTGAAGAAGTTGATAACTCCCATCAGATGTAATTTCTGCAAAATAAAAATGACTGGTGCGTGAACATGTATATTAAACAAACAACCAAGAAGATTTAGAGGTCTTTTGTCATCCATACAATTAACAAATTAAACAAACTTTGGATTATTCTCAAACACAACAAATCTGATGAGAAGAATAACTTTTTTGTTATACTAGATCTAAACTAGGCCTGTAAAATAAAACTAAACAATGACTTATATTGTTAGAAAGAATTGGCATGGTGCTAAGGTGTCTCATTTTCCAGCTGGGCAAGTCTGCTTTTTACTGCAACTTCACATGGACTCATCTTAAAAATGAAGCACTTTGTGACTCCCTGTCTGTGAATAGTTCCATATAAAGAAAGAATAATATACATATTTGTGTTTCTTGGTAATAATTGGTCTCATGTGGTAAGATTAACATATTTGTGCTTTGTTGATAGGTGGCAAGTGTCCCATTCTGAACAATCTGTGCGACAACAATCCATGTCCCGAGGGAATGGAGTGTGTGGCTGATCCCAGAGAGAACCTGTACAGCTGCGTATGTCCCCAAGGCAAAAAGGGAAAATGCTCGGGTGAGAAAAGCAGCAGAGGAATGTCAACAACAGTGAAACTACTGAACTAAGTCAATCATTTAAGCTCACATTATGCTCAGGACCTTTTCCTTTTTGTATGATTTTTTTAATCTTCTTTAATGCTTTAAAAAGTTGTTTTCATAATAAACCAGCATAAACTACTAGAAAATTCGGAAGTTGACCAAGTACCAGCACATGTTTTTTGAGACATGACTTTTCTTGAAAGCGTTCATGTTTTTCACGTGAAGTTTGAACGATTTCTATAATACCAAATGAAGACAACTCTCAGCAAGAATCTCTATCTAAAATCAGGCCTTTACAGTGCAGTACAACATATATACTGTATTTCACGGGCTATTGAACGCACCTGTATACAAACTGCACCAGCAAAATTTGAAAAGAAAGTCAATTTTGTACATATATGAGCCACACAAGAATATTAAGCGCAGGTTCATGTTGTAACTATACAACAGCTCACAGACTGCTGATAGAGCATAACAGTGTAAGTAGGCATTTGAACACAGCTCACTATCCAGCAACAGAAGAGGCATGTCTTAGTTCCTTCACAGGGTGACCTCATGATTAGCAACAGCCACAACAGCCACAAAGCACCGTTAGCAACAGTAACACGAGTTGGTAAATACAGTAACATAGCAGTAATAAAAAAGAATGCAAACATTAGAACGCGTTAACATGGTTACCTTAGCTGTTAGCTTCCAAGTCGGGGTCAAATTAATGCATTAAATCCAAGCTGTTGTGACTGGATACGTTTGTCCTATTTAACAAAACAAAAAAAGTCCCTTGAATGCCACTTGGCTTTCTTTTCTTATAAGCCGTAGGGTTTAGAGTCTCTTACAGGAAGAGAATAACAGTATTTATCTTTGTGTGTCATTTAGATGGCCACTCGCTCACATTCAACGGGAATGGTTATATCAAATACCACCTGATGGAAAATGACAATAAGGAGCTGATGAAGCTGTCTCTGAGGCTCAAGACGTTCTCCAGCCACGCCACCGTCATGTACGCCAAAGGCACCGACTACAGCATACTGGAGGTGGGTGGAGATGGTTAATTTTGCCTGTTTTATTTCCTGTGTTGTATATTCATGTTCTTAAATCCCACATGAATATATTTGATATTCAAATGTTGTACTTAGATTATCAGAAAAGGGGGTTGAGTTTTTTTTTTGTTTTTTTTTGCAGTGTTCCACAATTATAGTAGTAGGAATAATAATATTGTAAAGAGGGACTTTGTCTACTTTTGCTTTGGAGTTCCTATTTTTGCAGATTATTCTTTATATTAATTAATCAGTTGTTTAGATCATGAAAGATCAGTGAATATGGGATTTTTGAATACATTGACCAAAACAAAGCTCAAGTGATGTGCCTGGAAAAGATCTCTAGGGACAGATTGGGTTGTTTTAGTAATAATACATTTTAATTTCATTTTTGCTTTCATTCTGGAAATATCTGAGCCATAGAACCTTTTTGTAGCATGTTTAGGGCTTTGTATGGTAGAAAAAATATGATTACAAATGTAGTTGACAACTTTTTAAAATCATTTATCAATCAATAGATTATGTTACCAGGCTCCCATTTTTTTTTCTCTATGTAACCGGTCTTGTGTACTGTATGCCTCCCTGTCAAAACCTCATCTCAAGCCAACGCTAGCTAGTGCTGGGCCCGGTTATTACTGTGATGGAGCCCCTTTGGGAATTTCAATGCTACAATGGGACACCTCAATCTTTTAAGTGCAAAACATGCCCTGAGGCATTGGGCAAGACACTTCACATTTCACAGTTTGAATCTGGTGTGAAAGAGAATAGTTTGTTTTGATTGGAAGGTCTGGTAGAAGCATTCTTGCTTCTGTGAGTCTGCCCCATGACAGCTGTGGTTTAAATAGTAATTAGTAAGAATATCTGGCTATAATATGTCATATTGTGTATAGGCATCTTCTTTAATTTGCTGTGAAACCATAAGCAACTACTTCATAAGTATGTATTATACAGCTTAAAGTTGCTTTCCTCAAAGATGAAATGACTTTGCCCAAAATTACCATCATGTGAAAGCACCAAGTCCATTTTGAACAACTCCATGCATCACTCGACCAAATATCCATTTTAAAACACACTGTATAAACCCATAGCTGACCTGTCCTCCCTGGAGAGCTGCGAGTTCAAAACTGCATTTTTCAAACCTTTCACATGAAGGCTGCTGTATGAAAATGTGGTGATGGGAAATGCTCTGAGAAAAAAACTCACACAAGGACTATTTTTTGCGGTGGGAGGGACGCAGGGCAGTTTTTCCACACATTCTTTGTCTGCTACGGCGTCTCCGTGCCAGACTTGAAAACCTGGCTGGCCAAAAGGAGCTTATTGTTCTCTCCAACTGCCGTGGAAAGTTTTTTATGTTTGTCGTGTCTTTAATGTGCTGTTTATTGGAGAGCGAGAAGCACATAAGTTATGATAATGAGAAGGGTTCCTGCAGTTAAGCCTTTTTCCATGCTGATTATTTTTGTTGTGGCTTGTTAAAATGTAGTATTGCCACTTATTTCCGAAAGGATGGGAAGAGGAGAGTGATGGTGTGAAATAGTCTATATAGTAGTCTTGTGATTGATATAATTTCAAGGTCACATTAAATGACAAATACATTTTTTGTAAAATTGTTCAATAGAAAATACTAGTAAGTGGATTTGTCCCTCCACAAACATGTGGAGGGACAAATCCACTTACTAGTATTTAAAAGCACATCAAATTTTGTTTTGTTGACTAAAAAACATGGAGAACAAGAAAAAAACTTGTAGAGTGCATACTTCCGGCTGAGGATATTTTGTGAATAAAATACTGGATTCACACAGTCACAAATACACAATATAGTAAAAAATGATTACATTACACTACAAATATACAGGGGAGGGTGGTATTGGCAAAGGTGTATGTTGTGTGTTTGACCTGTATACATGAGCGATATGAATATGAGGTTTTAACAAATTGTGTATGTAATATCATAACATCAGCCTGCCCAGGGACTACGGGTGGAAATTACCAACAATGCATCTCTCCCTTTGAGGTTAATGTTTATTGTACACTGTCCCTGTCATCTTAAATAAATATACTAAACTAAACTATATAGAATAAAAAAGGAGGTAGAGCTTTGAGTGGTGTTTCTCAGGGGAACGTGAGGAGAGTGGGGGATGTGCAGAAGAGGTGAGGTGGTAATATGATGATCTAATGGAGGCAACAGTTGGGATTGTTGTTGCAACTGGGGAGTTGGCTCATGAACGTAAGTGTGTGTGTGTGTAAGTGATACATTTCAGAGATATATTGTGTGAGATTTTCATTTAAGTGATTCCATTACAATAAATGGGTCCACACAGTGGGATCTGATAGGGGATGAGTTACAGTCGTGCCTGACATGGATTAATAGCAAAACTAAATGTATCTCGCTCATGGCATATTAATAATATTGTGGTTGTTAATCATAAGAAGATAAGATAAATAGCTGCCTAATGGTACATTTTTCAACTTCCTCCTTCAATATTACATTCTGAAAAGATGTCAGCCTCGTCAGATCAATTGCCTCTCCGTCTGTGTTATTAATGTCATTAGACTTTATTATTATTAAACTTTTCAACATAAACCCAAAACTAATAAAAATTACTTTGTAAAGAGAAGAGGCAATATTATCTTTTCTCAATTTTAATGATAGTACAGGTGATCTGTATATTAGATATTACCGACTCACTCACAGGGAAATAGCCAGTTTTGTGTAGTGTGTTGCATATCTGTTTGTTTCTGGTATGGCTCCAATCATACATATACAAATGCTGATATAAGGCCTAATATACTAAAGTATCATTTTATACAAACCTAGTCACCATGAATATGTCAGAGCCCATGGTTGTAATCTCCAAACATGTACAAATGTTCCCTTCCTTTTCCCAGATTGTGAACGGTCGCGTGCAGTACAAGTTCGACTGCGGCAGCGGGCCGGGCCTGGTGTCGGTGCACAGCGCGCAGGTCAGTGATGGCGAGTGGCACACGCTCTCACTGGAGGTGGACGGCAACTACGCCAAGCTGGTGCTCGACCGCGTCCACGCCGCCTCAGGCACGGCCCCGGGCACGCTGCGCACTCTCAACCTGGACAACAGCATCTACTTCGGAGGCCACGTTCGCCAACACGCCTCCAGCAGACACGGCCGCAGCCTGCCTCTGGTCAATGGCTTCCGCGGCTGCATGGAGGCCATCAGCCTGAACGGCCTGGAGCTGCCGCTGAACACCAAGGCGCGCCGGGTCCATGCGGTATTGGAGGACATGCTGGATGTGGCCCCAGGGTGCGCACTGGCCCCTGTGGAGAGCTGTTCTAGTAACCCCTGCACCAATGAAGGCACCTGCACGTCACTGCCCAACGGAGGTGCGTGTGATAATGTGTGTGTGTTTAGCAAAAGTGGAACGGAAAACTTTAGAGTGAGAAGATTAATGCTGTTTATAGAATGTTAAAAAACCACAAGGTAAACCACAAGGGTGCACTGAAAAGACTATGGCATGTAATTAGCTTGTGGCTGTTGTGCTTTATCCTGTATCAGTATATTAAAAGTACATTTGAATACAATCTTTAGGACATTTTGTGAGCTCCTAAATTTTCATTTGGGGGTTGTTAAATTGCTCATTCATAAACAGATTATGATAATTCTATCAGTTTGGAAGTGCCTATTCCTTAGCTCCATTATATTGAGTCCACCTGTTTTTATGGTGAAATGCCATAAGCTGCAGTTTGTTTGAAGTGAGTTTCACTAATAAGTGCAGCGCAGTAAAACCAGCCTCGCACTTCTGTTGCTCATTACAAACCTGCTCATGGTTCAAGGTGCACGCTCCCCAGGGCTCTGAGAGGAACATCTGGAGGAAGTGCACAAGACTGGAACCACCATGTGCTTGTAAAGAGTGTGTGGGACACTGAGGGAGAGGTGGATCCTGCAAAACAACATAATGATCACTCAGCCGTTGTATTCGCTAGTGTAGACTATAGTTAATTATTGTACGAAGATGGTTTCATTATATTTCAAGATCATAATTTCAATGTCATGTTAATATGCCAGAGGAATAGAGTAATTGTCCCACTCAAATGCAAACACATTACATTAACTGTTGAGTAAATAGTTTATTGAATAAATAAAAGGGAAACTACAGCTAACACTATTCCACAATAATATGAAATAAAAGTAACATCTTTAGAAATGTAGCTCAACAAATATGTGTATGTGTGCATAATATAGTCGACGTACTAATATAATCTTATAAAGTAATCAAATTAACCTTGATATAAATTTAAATCAAAGTGGTTTTCTTTCTCACCTATACATTCCTTTCAACCGTGTCTTTTCTGGTTACAGGTTACTTCTGTAAGTGCCCTGGTTCCTTCATGGGGGCTCATTGTGAGATCGGCATCAGCCCCTGTGCTTCCAACCCCTGCCTGTACGGGGGCACCTGTGTCCCCCACGCCGGGGACTTCTACTGCCAGTGCAGAGGCCAGTACTCCGGACAACGGTAAAACTCTCATCATATTGGGCCGCCATAATTGAAAGTATATATAGGAGGATTTTCCCAAAGTCTGGGAAAGTACCGCCCTCTCTGTCTTATCTTGTCTCTGTCAGACCAGAGTCTTATTGTGACTCTGGTCTGTGAAAGGCGGTATATAAATAAAGATTACTTACTTACTCTGCTTTCTGAACAAAAATCTCTGGTCTTATTCGACAAGCACATATCACCAGAATGATTGACAATTAGGAGGACCAATAGTCTTGAGCAGGGGTGCTCAATACGTCGATCGCGATCTACCAGTCGATCGCAAAGGTAGTATTGGTAGATCGCATTAAATAAATAAAAAATTACACATTCTAAACGAATATATACAAAAAACTCCGGGCAAAGTGGAGATTTTTGAAAACTCCGTTAATGCATTTGTGTGTAGACAGAGATAACCAGAGTTTTGCGTTCTCGCACGCCACAGTACCCCCCTAAATTCCTCTGATCACTGAAGCATGGATCATACTACCTTAAAAAGTGTTTGCTGTGAGATGCTCGCAGCAGCGAACATCCTCGCTCCACATCAGAGAGCAGCAAAGTGATCGCGGGGACTCACGCTCGAAAACAACCAAACCAGGACTAAACCAGGACTAAATCAGGGCTGAGGACGGGGTCAGTGCTTGTAAACATACGTCTTACTCTTTACTCTAAGTGTCTTCTATGACTGTAAAAGTGCCGTTACCGGCGTCTGCATCAAAGCTCCGCCCACTTCTGTGTTTTTCCCCAACGCAGGACAGGACGTAAGAGACGCACATATTTGGAATGTTACAAATGTGATTGATAATGCAGATGTGTGGATGCAAATTATTTTATAAACTGAGGAGGGGAAATATTTGGATTTAAAAAAAAAACAGGCATGGCACATGGACATGGCAGCACAGTCAAATGACATCTGTGTTTTACTCAGTAATGTTTTACTGACACTTAGGTGACTGCACATGCGCAAACAACCGCGCTCAGTGCAGGAAAGCTAAACCACGATAAACTTGCCAGCGAGTTACCACCAATTTTCCGGACTATGCATCCCTGGCCGATTCAATTCAGTGCAAGTCATAAGAGTAAACTCGGGTAATGACAAAAAATGTACATCGGTAATTGTGTTGTGTTGTGCTATATTGGCTCATGCGGTTTTGCATGTACATAAACATACATTGTAGATATAAAGAATATTTTTTGAAATATATGATTTGCATTTTTGTAGTAGGTAGATCATTTTGACTTGATCCTTTTATAAGTAGCTCGCATGCTGAAAAAGTGTGAGCACCCCTGGTCTTGAGGATCCACCTGGAAGTAGAAAATCCTCCTATATAGATATCAACTTTTTCACAATCCATTTACCAGGGTTGCCCTTCTTTGCTGTACTCACAGTGGGGACAATACAGTTACAGTTATATAATACATACATTACGGTTCTACAGTATATATTTATTTCTTTTTTGTCATTTCCCCAACTAGATATTAATAAGCAACATTAATATTTTCCTCTTTTGTTCCTAGGTGCCAGATGGGCCCGTACTGCAGAGACAACCCTTGTAAGAACAGTGGGAAGTGCATTGACAGTCTGGACGGTCCTGTTTGTGAATGTGAAGCCGGCTTCCAAGGAGAGAAGTATGTCCAGAATCACACAACAGAGCCTCAGTATAACCATTGATTTGTTTGGCATGTAGCAAGCCAGTCTAACTCTGGTCGTAATCTCTGCGATAGTCTGTACAAAAGTGTTCTGAATGTCTCTTGATTGGCCGTTCCAGTGGTTGTTCATAAGGATTTATATTTATTTATAAAAGTCTTGTAGCTAATAACAATCTAATCTAAAATCATCTCCATGGGAAAATATATAAATGTAATAATTGTGCTCCATCTCATGTCCACAAAAGATTGATAACATTTGGCAAGGCAAGCTTATTTGTATAGCACAGATTATAGACAATGCAACTTGTGTTCTACAAGGTTAAAGATGAGGTATCTAACCCTTAAACCACAAACATTTATCCATGTAATAAAATCCATGTTTCTAGTTCCTCACTAGTTCCTCACTTCACACTTTGGTCACATCTTTCGATCAGCTTTTTCAGACAGACAGAAGTAAAAAAAGAGAGAGTTTGCCCACAACATTTTACTTATACAAGCCTCTTTCTGTCGTATGTTATTTATGAAACCAAACAGTTAGTTACCACAGCTTTATCATGTTTTGACAGCAGATGAACAACTCTTTGTGACTTTCCCAGGTGCCTGACCGACATAGACGAGTGTGTGAAGAACCCCTGCTCCAACGGCGGTCAGTGCCACAACACCTACGGCTCGTACCGCTGCAACTGCTCGTCTGGCTTCACCGGCGCCGCGTGCGAACAGCGGGCCGAGGTGCGCAACGACTTTGTCTCCACGTCCTGGAACATCGGCCTGGAGGAAGTGGTCGGCATCGTGGTCTTTGTCTCCAGTATTTTCATCCTGGTGCTGCTCTTCATTCTAATTCGGAAAAGGGCGTGTCGTAACAAGGCCAAAGAGGAAGAAGACAAGTCTGCCGTGGGTTCCAGCGTACCGCACTCCTTCCTCCACCGGCCGTATTTTGATTCCAAGCTAAACAAGAACATCTACTCGGACATCCCGCCACAAGTGCCCGTCAGGCCCATCTCGTACACTCCCAGCATCCCCAGCGACTCTAGGAACAATCTGGATCGGAACTCGTTTGAGGGGTCGGCCATTCCGGAGCACCCCGAGTTCAGCACGTTCAACCCGGACGCGGTGCACGGCCATCGGAAGACTGTGGCAGTGTGCAGCGTGGCCCCCAACCTGCCGCCGCCCCCGCCCTCCAACTCAGTGTCAGACAGCGACTCCATACAGAAGCCCAACTGGGATTATGACTACGATGGTATGTGCGCACCAGGAAAGATCTAATTCACACATTGAATATGGAACATATGTAGACAAACAATATGGGCTGGCTTTCCGGGCCAAGGCAAGGGCAAGTCATGTGTATTTGTACAGCACAATTCATACACAAGGAAACTTATTTTATTGGCCCAACCAAAAATATTCCCATTAAAATCCCAATCTTACTTCCTGATGGTTCTGTCAAGCTATTTGGTTTTGGCTACAATGAGTTGGCTCACACACTTTTTTCCCCCACCAATAACCAGATCCTGGTTATCGGTGGGGGAATTTAATATATTTCCTCAAAATAAATTACATTGGATATCTTAGTCTGTGGCCAGTGGCTTATGGCTTATAAATAAATTGTTGAGTTGTACCTTGCCTAAATATTGCTATAACCCATTTTGTCGGATGAAAACATGACATTCACAACTAGTAATTTGTGGCATCATAATGAAACATGTTTTCCCTAAAATACAGCCCCTCATTAAAAAGTATATTCTGCTGTAATTGATCCAAAATTCTAGACCAGGCAACATAACGACAAAATGGGCAAAATGGCAACGGCATGTCTAGTTACCACAGAAATATTGGGAGATGTTAAAATCTTGTGATATCTGATCCCCTGTTCGTTCAAGCGGCACACTTTGTTTGTCCAGCTAAAGTGGTGGACCTGGACCCATGTCTGACCAAGAAGCCCGTGGAGGAGAGTGCGTGTCACCCATACAACACCCGCGGCAGCATGTCCGAAGTCCAGTCCCTTAGCTCCTTCCAGTCCGAGTCCTGCGATGACAACGGTAAGCCTCTCCTCTTTGCCGGCATACGCACAATTTACAGAAACAAAAAAAAAATTGGGTTGAAAGTCGACTGATAGTGCACCGGAATGAATTAAAAGTTTTCTCTTGCTCTTTTGAATGCTAACTAATGTGTATTTGCATGCCCACAATGGATACAATGTTAGCTCTGTGGGTCACTTGTTCTTCTCTTTCCTCCTTTTTTTTCTTCTCTTTGCCGCGGGGCTAACCCAGCTCCCATATGGATTAAGTCAGTCCACCGATCCAGGACCAGGTTTTAAGTAGGGATGGGGTCCGGCCAGTAAGTCCTTTGTCACTACCGCTTCAGACGGAAGCAATCAAGGCTCCATACTAAGCGTTTTCTCCCAGGAAATTAAAAATATATATGTTTGAATTGCTTAGATAAGATGCATTCTGGCCTTGTGTTCAATGACCCACTCAGACTGTGTGTTTGTGCATGATTTCACTGTGATGTTTTATTCAAAGCATGATTCTCATTTTTTTTTGTCTTTTGTTTTTGATTTGTTTAGTGTCAGATCTGTCAGAAGGATTTTAAAAGCAAGCGGGGGCTATGTTTTTGTGTGTGTACGTGTCTTTTATCATTTTCTTATTGTTTTGTTGTCATCTCAGTTTTCTTAAACAGTGGGTGAATAATGGACCGTGGGACATTTCTAGAACATTTCAGACTCTTAATCCTTTTCTTAATATTTTATAAAATACCAGAGCTGAGAATGGAATTAATATATCTTTTTTGCAAGGATTCACTGATTAGGAAATGGCGAGCAGGGTATTTGCACATAAGTAATTACAGCCCTAATTATATATTTGTCTGTGTAATCTTTTTCTATAAAGTCAGTCTGAATGAATATTTGCCCAGCTCAATATTATGAGACACGCTTGTACATAATTGTAATTCCATACAGGCTTTAGGTTATAGGGAGGGTTAGTATCAGGAATTGAGTTTGACCAAAATAAATTAATATTCCTAAAAAGAGGTTTTCAAAAAGCATTGGAAATGAGTAGCAAATAGTTGGACTCTGCTGAGGGAAAAATATATGTGGATAATAATTGAAAACAAATTAGTTAACATAACACAAACGCAAATTTGCAACTTGCTTTGAATTTAGAAATGGATAAACTATCTTAATACTAAGAATGCACCAATTCAACTATCTTATTTCTGGTAGGCTGAAAATTACAAAATTACAAATTATTATAAAATTGATTATCCATCCTGCAAGTGACAAGATAACATTGTTGCATGAAAAAATCCCATCTCTTCCTATCAGAGAATCAATACGCTCATATACGCATTATCCCAGGTCCAGTATTTCTCCTCCGTCCCCAGTCTACATGTGCAAAGCTGACATATTTGCAAAACATATTGAAGCGCACATATGGTCCGTCATTTCCTATTGTTCCTGCCAAACACTGGGGTTTTCTCTCAGTAAATAAGGCCTTTTTTTTAACTCCCTGGGGGAACTGAAGTGGTCGTGCCATCTGTATCCCATAGTGTGGCAGTGATGTTCATGTGAAGTGTGATCCTCCCACTCATGGAAGTAAACACGGCTGAAAATGGACTTCTGCTCATACTTGCCAGCGATTTGTTTCGAGTCAACACTAATATGGTTGTAGTTATTTGGATGTTAGTGTTTCGTGTTTGAAATTAGCCATTTTAATGCTATTTTATGCACTTACACATTAAAAGACATTGTTGGTTTAAGCATTTGAGTACATTTATTTCTGGTGGTTGCCTCTGTAAGAAAACCGGCTCCTATGATATGCAACTTATGTATAAATATGAAAGGCATAATAACAATAATTTAAGAAAAAAAGTGTTGAACTATATCATTAGCTGTGGTTAAAAAGGTACACACAGAAAGAAATTAGTCTGAACAAATGAAGTTGTTTTCCCATTTTGGCGGTTCTCTGCATGTTCCTGCATGTATCTATCGCCATTTAGGATCCTTGAAAATAAAGTTTTATCTTATCTTCTTCCAAAATGTTGAATTCAAGCCATTTCAAGTCAAGCAGAAGTTCATTTTTGCTGTGAAAACACCAGCCTCCCATCAGCTTTGAGTGTTTGTGGGTATGAACGTAAAGGCGTACATGGACTAATGCTGTGTGTGTGTTTGTGTGTGTGTGTGTGTGTGTGTCTTCCTCCTCTCACAAGCCTCCATAGTGACTGTGCTCCACTGTGTCAGTTCCAGTGTTGACACGGTGGACAGAGAAGGTAGTTCTCTTGTCGTCCACTCTGTGCTCGTGCCAGTGCTTGTGACGTGGTCCATGTTACTGCCATTATCTTACACTACAATATATAGGACTAATTAATTAACATACCATTCCATAGTAAGTAACATTATTTTGGAAGTTTATTCTTTGTGATTTGACTTATGTTTCATTCTTTCTTCTTACTTAACCAAACTTATTCTTTTTTCTGAAAACCAGTTGTACCTAAATTGGCAAAACAAATTTGATCGGTCGGAAGGCGCACTCCTCAGCTGTCGTGGTGGCGATACAGTACCTGCTTCTTGCGATAGACATGTTTTTGTTTTAAAGCAATTCATTTAGGAGTGAATAAAAAAAAGCTTCTACTGCTCTTTCCAGACGTAAAACTATTGTATGACACAATTTATTTTGAATTGGTTCAAACGTCTCCCTAAAGACCTTTAACTTTGAATATTCAGGCAAAACAAAAAGCATGTAGATGAGCCCAAGCCAAAAAGGAGCCACCAGCACAGTTTAGGAAAGCCTCTTTGAAAAGACACAATAATAGTGATTAAGTACCTTGTGAGTTTAAGAAAATGGCAGCTTAATCGTACCTTTGGCAGCTTAATCGTACCTTTGGCAGCCTTCAGTCATTGCACTTTCCATTGTGAGGTCCTGGTCTCTGTGCTTCAACCACTTTCCTTTCATATTTTGGCACGTTTCTCTGGGCATCAATCTGACATGTTCTTTCTCTCTCCTTCTTTTCCTCCGGCGTGGTAAAGAGTCTATTGTGGCTCATGAGCTCAAGAATCCAAGAGGTGACTTTCTCATATTGTGTTCATCCCGTCTCCCTCCACTAATCTGAGCTTTTGTGTGAAGAAGCTTTGATGACACTTAGAGTATCTGTCGGTACAAGACAGTAGCATGCATGGCAATACTCGTGAAAGACTGTAAACTCAGCAGTGAGGTGTTTCCGCAGTTAGAACAATACGATATTTGGCTATGAGATGGAGAAAGAAGGGTTTGCGATAGCTCCTTTGAAACTTCAGCTGACCAAAGCCATACAGTCAACAACAATGAGGACAATAGATCATGCAGTATGCAACACTTGAGGACCATTACAATACATTTGTACCATATAGCCAAAACCCTGACGATATACAACAACACTTTATTCCATCTTAACAACTTAAATACTGGTTAATTCAACCATTCAATAGTTTATACAGTCATTATATAAGGCACATTTGTTTTGTTTTTAATTAATTAGTGATAGGGACCGTGCATACATCAATGAACATCAACAAGTAAGGTGTAGATATTCCAGATTATAGTTTTCATGAGAAAGTTAGAATTTTGCAGTCATAATATGTCATACCTAACACTGGCGGTAACAGAACATGGTTAAACTGAAGCTTTGGCTAAATGTATGATAGTATACAGTATATACATGTTCTAAGTGAAAGCTGACGTCGTTAGGACTAACTGATTGTCTGTCGTCCTTGCCGTTGTGTCGTGACCAGTGCTTTTTTTATTGCATGTTGTGGATTTGAAAAATTAACCCTAACATTTAGAAGTTTTTACTGACTTCCACATGTGCTCACCGCGTGTCTCTCTCCCCAAGGATACCACTGGGACACTTCTGACTGGATGCCGAGCGTCCAACTTCCCGGGATCCAGGAGCTGCCGCAGCGCGAGGTGGTGGAGTACCCTGACCCCAGCGCCATAGACACGGACTACTACCCGGGGGGTTACGACATCGAGAGCGACTTCCCCCCGCCTCCCGAGGACTTCCACCTGAGCGAGGACCTGCCCCCGCCACCTCCCACTTCGTCCTCTCTGCCCGATTACGACACGCTGAGACCCCGCGGCCTCGAACCGCCCGCCACCCAAGTGCGGCAACGACCCGACCTGCCGCACCTCTACAGCCTCAACCAGTACCTCCCGCAGCATTCTTACCCAAGCGACCGAGGCGACGGGCAGGGCAGCTCCACCTCACCAGGCAGCACCCCTCCCTGCTCCTCCATCGCGGGTCCTCTGAGGGCGGGCTTCTCCTCGCTGGACTCGGCGGCCCTGGACGACGTGTCACTGTACGCGTCCACGGCCTCCTGCTCCGACATGTCCGCGTGCTGCGAGGAGTCCGAGGTCATGCTGAGCGACTACGACAGCGGCGAGGGCGAAGAGGACGACCTCCTGGAGCGCCTGGTGATCCCCGACTCCCAGCAGCACACGCAAGTCTGACACTGGAGGTGAAACAAGTGCCTGAATCACGCGCAAAAGGAACGCTGTATGAACTTACTACTATGCTGGATGGACGTTCAGAAAGAAAATGGCTCCGTCGTGTTTTGACTTTGGATCGGCGGTACATCTGAATTAGGGCAACGGCAGCATCTTACGGTCTCGAGCTGGAAACCTCAATGACAAAAGAATAAGGCACAAAGCACAGGTTCTGGTTTACATACCTTTTAACTTTTCAAATTACTGTTATGCAAAATGAAACCAGGCCGGGTCGAGTTTATCATGAACAAGCCGGACCCCCACATTACACCAGGCACAGCGCGTAACAAAATGAAGGCGTAACGTAGGCAGGAAATGTGCGTAGAAGGCGTTCAATTTACACCAAGTGAAGATTTTAGAGTAATCGAGAGACAGGCGTATAAAAAGCGTTCAAGTCACTCCTGAGGCGCTCGTTCGTACCCTTTTTTCCTGTCTCCTTCACGGCGATGAGCGAGGATACCCCACACTGATGCGTAAATATAGACCTTCATCTTATTCATAGCAAAACAAAACGTAATGTAGGCGTGACCAAGGCAGCGTTCAATTCACATCACAGGCTCTCATTTGACCCTTTTTTCCTTTCCCGGTTGCGATGATCCTGAGGAAAAAAACTAAATAATATTATTCTTATCAGCGCACAACATGAAGCTATACATGGACTAAACCTACGCGGGCTACGCTTACACACCGAAGACGCGCTGATGTCGGTGGGTGTGAATACGGCGTCTGGTTTCTTGCACGATAACACGAAGGACAAGCACAAGATCTCAAGAGCTGCTTCTACAACTATCTGCGTAGCTACATGGGGTGAAAGCCGTGCACAAGCTCTTTGACTTCACTTTTTTTTTTGGTCAATTTTGAAGGAGCATTTCCCCGATTCAGATGTACCACAACACGTCAGCTGTAGGCCATGATCTTAAATACGCGTACTGTGGAAAAGACATTATTATTGTTGTGCCAAATCTGCCCGAGGACGAATCTAACAAGAAAAACATGGTTTAAAAAAAATAAATACAAAAGCTAATATTGAGAAGAACCTATCGTAAAAAGACTCACTAGAGACTCCCGCCATCGCTACAAGTAGATTCCAGAAGGATCGACGCGCGGAAACATTCTCAGCGGTCGTCTCCGTTTCTACGACCTAAAACCATGCAATGTTTTTTTTATACCTGTGTCCTCGATTTCGATGTAAATGTCACTGTACAGTTTTGATTTCAAAGTGGTCTAGGTTTTGTAGATATTCTATGCTTTTTATTTTTGAAAAGAGTTGAAATAGTGTGACATGATCAGCCTTATTGTGTTCACGACATGTTGTAATTAAAAAAAATAAAAGAGAGAAGAGCGCTGCTTTTCTGAACCGGTGTATACGTATAAGTCTGTGTCCCGCCCGCTCATTTCAAAAAGGGTCTTCAGTGAACGACTGCATATTCTTGTTATTTTTTTATTTTTATTTGTTTGTACATTTTGATTTTGAAACCTCTTTATTTTTCCACCAAGAAAACGGGACCCAATATATTTATAGTGCCGAGTTCTCCATGGACACGTGACTTTTTCAGGTGTCTGTGTGTGTGTGAGCAATGCTATGGTCTTGTTAAGGTTTTTATGGAATACTGCCACAAGCTCACGCTTTCCTACTGGCAATAAATTATTAAAAAATAAAGCCTTGTCTCTCGGGTTTTCTCTCTATAATCGTACATTTTACCGTTGGTTTCATAGTATATCTTGTGCTGCTAAATTGTTAGTTTATATAGTTGCTCTTGAAACATTTTTGCTTGTTGGTAGGTTCCTTTTTCAGCTAGATAAACGTCTTGTTTTAAATCAATCACTCAAAGGTTATTTATAAACTACTTTTCATACAAGAAGTGCAACATGAACTGTTTTATAGTTTGGGTTAAAATAATCTCACATTATTATTTATACACACTCAAACACAAACCCTTTATTACAGTCACATCAAATTAGTGAAACGGGTTCAACCAAGAAAAGATATAGGCCTGGGTGCCTTGAGTAATCAGCTGAAAAAATGTCGTCCAAGGAGCTGTCTGTGCCAGGAGCAGAGAGCCAACCACAGCCACAGGGGACGACACAGGACCCAGAGAAGAGAGGAGGCTCCAGACCTCCACCAGGCCAAGAACCAGACCACCACAGCCAGACCACTGCTCCTAGTGTAGAGGGCTCCTCCAGAGGAAACATTGGTGATACTAAAACAATAAAAGGACTAAATCAAACTGCAGCAAGTCATTTTTCTTGCTTTTTCAAACAGTAAATGTTACTGCAGCACAATGTTCATGGTTTTACACTGATCCAGACAAGAGCAGAGAGGATGCACAGTCTAAACTAAGCAGATCATGCGTTAATCCACTGGGGACTGCTCATTTTTATTTAAAATATGCGAATAAAGCCTTCAGGATTTGACTCCAGATCAGACCCAGATGAGAGAAAATGGTCCAAACCAATCAGACTCTACATACATCAACCAGAGGATAAGGAAGCAGCTCATGCCTGGCCTCCGCACCGCCTCTGCTGCTGAGACCTTAAATGCTGTTTTATGTTAATACTATTGTTAGTAACTTTTGGAATTGTTTTTCTATTTGTTTGTGTCGATAGATGTGTTTCTTCTGTTGGACACCTGAATTTCCAACTTAGTACGGGTATCTATGTAGATCAATTGAATATATAAACTGTGACAATAAATTATTATCAAAAGTTTGGAGTTTAGATAAAAGTTTCTCTGGGACTCAATGTAGACTTCCAACATTTGGCCATAAACCGTTAATTTAACTAACCTTGATTTTATGAGCGCTGGATTCACACCGGGCTGCAGATCTGTTGATCTGATCACTCCATCCATAATGTTTATGGAGCAGGATTCAATCCTGCAACCTTCAGCCTTAGCACACACACTCTACCAACTAAGTGTCCTGCAACAAAATATTGCCATTGAATGTTATTGTTTTGATAATAATTGGCCAAAAAATCCAACTAGATGTTACAATAAATTAGACCATGACCCTGTTATCTATTTACACAAGAAATACCAGAGTGAGAAATACTGGGGCTCACAGAGGAGCTTTGTGTCTTTATGTAAATGTTTGTATTTAGGGGAAAACAACTTGTATATATTACACATAGTGCTCTAATGGTCCCATCCATCCATCCATTTTCTTCCCCTTAATCCATTTCTGGGTCGGGGGTGGCAGTCAGAGCTGCTCCCAGTACACATAGCACCATCCCCTCACTGATCCTCCGGCAGGTGGTGGGTCCACAGGAGCACAGGATATTGGTCCCAGTTATTTCAAACACTTGTGTTAGGAGCAGAAATATAATTTTTGTTTCACACAAGTTACTTAGTGAAAATCTGATCTTGAATAAAGCTGCATTTGTTTTAAGTTGCTTTTTTCGACTAGTGATATAATACCACTTTTCATCAGTCCACCCTGTAGCCACAGCTGCCCACAGCTAAGCTACTTTTTTTTTTAAATCTATACTCTATTCTGCCCTTATTATTTAATTGTATGAGGATTATGTGGCATCATAATCAACATGAATAATATCCATTCAAATCCAAACCTTAAATTAAACATATATGTGACTGTACAGCCTTCTTCAATACAGCACATAGAGTCTGACAATGATATGTGTTTGTACTAGGCCTAGGAAGGAGGCTGAGCTATGTCACCTGCTGTCTGGGAATAAAGTGTGTGTAGGTCTATAAGATGTCCACTAGATGGCAGCAAATGCCTATTCTAAAAACTGACTTGCCAGAGAAGAGAGGAAAGTGTCGTTGGAGAATGGATCTATAAAGAAGTTGGGTGATATGTAAAGAAGTTGGGTGATATTTGATAGTGTAGATGTGTTGCATGAATTGGTGAACTCAAAAGTAAAAGGTCTGATCGCAATTTTTTGTTTCAACCAATCAATAATATTATTTGTCCAATGCAGATAAAATGCATCACAAATCCTACTCAAAAGTAATATATATGATAAAATACCATTTCAAATAGAAATAAATACAGATACATAATTATAAAGTAAGTGTTGTTTAATTTTTTTGACTGATTTTACATTGCCGTACAGAGTCAGGTGTTCAAAAATATAATTCTATGAAAATGACAAAGTTTTACTTACTGACACATCTTAAGATTAAGAGATCCTTTATTTGTCCCACAGTGGGGAAATTAGTTAGTTAGTAATTAGAGGGAATTTAGTGTTGCACCTTAAAGAAAAGCAGGATGGAGCAGCACACAGCACAAGATACGGTAAATGAATATTAATTAAATGCAAAAATAAAGTACGATCTCTGTAAATCTAGCATAAAAAGTAGCAGTATAACATTTCTATCTTTAGGGGAAGGGGAGGAGGGGGAGGAGGGGCACTCTGACAGGATCGGTTCATGCTTCAGTCCCAAGTGAACCCGAGTTCACTTTAAGAGGCCCAATTAGAGCTACAACGCTTCATTTGAGGGTATGTGAAATTCATTGGGACTGAAGTGTAAACACATGCCTATTATCGCTGACCATATTCTGTCGCCGAGTAGCAGCTGTGATAAAAGAAGCACCAGACATGGATCTAAAAGTGTCCAGTTCATTAACTAGACCTAAGCGTTGGCTAATAATGAGCCCACTGGCTGTGAAAGTAGCCTCGTCACTCATGTCCCAACACTCCCTGCATTAGCGCTGTCCCAGAACTGCCCAACGCCCCAAAGGAGACCATTCATAACAGTGACCCAGCTCAGACTAGTGCCCTAGAAATGATCCAGGCCACAAGCAAACACACTATGGCTCTGTGGGAAAACAACGGAGTGAACCGTCTGTGTGTGTTTTACACTTATGCAAAGCTGTTTCCTTCTCATTAGCACTCTCAAAGCTGTGGTTCCACTGCATGGTTGAACTGTCTTTATGTTCCTGCATTTCTCCATTGACCTCCGATTTGTCTTGTTATCTTCCCCCACACCAATGTTTTGA